AAGGAAATGTGTACGTTCTCCATAGCGTCTTCAGGGAAGAGGTGCTTGTTGGAGACGTACTTGGCGAGGGGAGGGAACGTGGAATACCAATGCAGGACGTCGGACGTGGTTGTGCAGGGGATGGCAGGGTACGTGGAGACCAACGAGTGTGTGGCTGCCTGCGGCGTTGATAGGAACTCGGTTGGCATTTCCTCCGATGCACTCCTCGAGCCACAATTCACCAACAAGCTTTGCTCCTCTGCTTGCTACCAAAAATGCCCCAACATTGTTGACCTTTACTTCAATTTGGCAGCCGGAGAAGGTAAAATGTCTAAAATTTCTCTATTTATGAATTGGATCTTTTGTTTTTTAAATTCAAACGACAAAATAAAAATTATTGAACGGAAGATAATTTTTAATATTAAAAAATTTATCATTTAATGAATTTTTAGATTATACAACATTTTTTTTTGTTATAAATTTCTTTGTTTGTTAATTAGGCTTGCCATCATCGATATTTCAGGATTATAATTACAATAATTATTAATTATAACATTATTATAAAAAAAAAATTTTTACCACACTTTTTGTTATAGTGGTTTATACTAGAATATTATTTACAATATTGTTTATTATGGAACTCCACCAATTATAATAGAATATTATTTACAACATCATTTATTATGGAACTCCACCAAACGATTTGATGGCCACTCGCCTCATTGAAGCGGGTGGGCTATTCACCTAATCTGAAGATCAAATTTTTAATTATTAACATTTAACAATATTAACCTATTAATCATTACTCTTATAAAAAAAAAAAAAAAAACTATCGTCTATTATGATCGTTCGTCTTAAAAAAAGACACTGCAATTGAGAGTTATTTTTAGTGCATCAAGACCCTGAAAAGAAATTGTAGAGCAAGAACAAATCTAGCTTTTGTTTATGGTTTTGACCTTTTCTTTTTGTACACGTGAAAGACATATTCTGCCTTGCCATATGATGTTCTAACTTCTAACTTCTAACTTCTCCTCCAGTCAAGGAATTATTCTTGTCCTATGATGTCCTAACCAATAATTATATTTCTTTTTTTTTTTAATTATTTTGATCAATACATAATTATAATTATAATTATTTTTTAATGTTTTGTGCAGGGGCATTTTTACCGTCTCTTTGTGAGCTTCAACGCACCAACCCTCACCGCAGCATGATTGAGTTCCTGAGCTCTGGTGGTTTCCTCGGAGGATTAGGGGCGACATACGCTCCTGCCCCTTCTCCCCAGTAAATCAGCCGAATGTTGATGATGGTTTTCATTGATATGAGGAATAATTAGCGAATTAGGATATATGTTTGGGTTAATTTAATTTGCTGGACGACATTATGTATTGTGAGATGCTAGAATATTGTTAGACAACATCACTCTCTTAGAAATAAAGCGCTACATTCCACATTTCTTCTGGAAATTAATTATGTCATTTTTTTAATGTGAAGTACAAATAAAGAAACAAACTAATTAAAGGAAAACTAAAAGCACATGACAAAACTTGCACAAGACAACATTAGAACTTATTATAACAAATTATAACATGTAAGAAATAAGTGGGCGGAAAACCCACTGGCACTTAAGTATATCATTTAATAAATAAAAATTAATTAATTTTGTGGTTATAAATTTAATAATTTGATATGGTTATAATGTTAAGTAATATTATAA